ATAAAATAAAAAATGATACACTATAAATTTTAAAAACTTTTCTCTGAACTACAATTATTACTCCTAACTGTATATCTTGTTCTTTTAAAAACAACAACAACAACAACAACAAAACAGAATAGGCATTTTCCAAATTCATTCTCTACATTCTGCTCAATGCAGGCAGCAAGCTGATTAGAGTTTACAGCCCACTTCCCCACCTGACAACCAGTCAAACTTTTTAAAATGTAGATCTACAGATCTCTGCAGCATGCCTTTCCCTCCAGGAGAACTGTGAGGTAGCAAACGAATTACAACCTGCAGTTTTCTTTGTATGTTGATCTTTTTCTATTCCAGTTTGATGTGTTATTTTATACACTTATCTGCTGAGAAACACAAGGTGTGAAATGACACTTCAGGTGTGAAAACACGGCTCTGTCTCAGAAACAAGGCTCTGTTCTTCAAACTCCTCTATGGAAAAAGCTGCCAGAAAACCAACAACGGGGAAGTGAATTTGTGCTTTCAGGGTTGTACAGCTTCACGATGCCTGAAGGAAAAGTTTAATCTAGGCATCAGAGTGCTCTAGCGATTCGGCTGCCAGTCTTAGCAATAGGAACTGAGTTAATCTTGCAAACAAAGAAATGCTCATTTCACAAAGAGCAATTTCAAGTTTTATCCTGTCACAAGATTTTTTTTTTTTAATTATAAGTTAAGCCACTTACTACCAAACTGCCTTCGCGAAGTTTGGGTTTTATTTCTACAAAACAGAAAATAATTTTATGAGCCATCCAGTCAGACACATGTCCAGAAGAATGGAAATCTAGCTGATTATTACAGTTTGAAAAGGGAACTTTTTATCACTGTAGTAATGTGCTTATTTAACATCCAGAACAGAGTCTGTATCTATGAAATCCTGCTAGTGTGGAATAGTAGGAGTGCATGACAGGATCTTTTGGGGTTCAGTGACTTACTCTAATGAGTACCCATCAGAAAGGATAAAGAATCCAATTAAGTGAATTTCCAATTTAAATGAACTTTGTCTTAATTATTTGGGACTTGATTAACCGTTGCGATAAAGCTATACTGAGCAACACTTCATCTTCATTTAATGATTCAGAAAGCTTTATGGTATCTTTAGTAACTCAGAGCTATTATCAAAAGGTCAAGGGGGCTATAATTCCTTAATAGTCCTGTCAACTGCTTTATTGGTCACTTATCTCATCATAAAGGAAGATGTCACATGTACCAAAACATTTACTATAGTATATAATCCCCAATTTATCATGGCATAAAAGGATGTCATTTGGAACTCAGGAGTTTTTGAGAAAGAGCACGGTACTCCGTGGTGAGCAACACAGCCGCACAGAATGCCCACCCACTCACAGCACAATGTTTCCTCAAGTTTTACATACTAAGTCAGAGGTAGAGTACAACACTCTGATTTTTCTGGGCATCAGGGTGCTTAACCTTTCCACCACTTTTAATTTATTAATAGTCACAAAGTATTTTAAGCATATATAAGAGAACAGTGACTATTGTCACACATACCAACTTGAGTAACTGGGTGCCATTTGTCATACTTTCTACTGAATTTTTATGTTTTTCATTTGATTTTCAAGAAAAATATATTACAATTGAAGTTCCTTGAGTATATATCTCCTTGAACACGTTCAAATTGTCTTAGAGGGTCAGCCTGATAGCTCAGCAGACTAAAGTGCCTGCTTAGGCAGAGTGCAGCGGAGGGGTTCCATCCCCAGTGTGCCGTGCTGGCCTGCCCCCCAGAACACGCCGAGGCAGCGATTGAGACTGGCCATGGTGGCATACGCCTGTAATCCCAGCACTTGAGAGGCTGAAAACAGGAGAATCACTACAAGTCCAACCTGTATAGTGAGACCCTGTAGACCCAGTATCCTCTGTACTAAATGCATAAAAATAAATAAATTTCTTTAAAAAGTGTCTTAGATTTGGATTCACTTTCATCCATGTTTTTAGATCTTTACCATCTTAGATGTAAACACGCACAGCCAAAATATACCAGCACTATTTTGTGCATTAAAAATATTCAACATTGTATGTCTTCTTGAAATTTGCTTGTTTCCATTCAGCATTAAAATTTTGATGTTGCAGGGCCAGGAAGATGGCTCAATAGAATAAGTGCTTCCCTGGCAAGTGCAAGGACCTGAGTTCAATCCCCGGTTCTGCCAAAAATAAAAATAAAAAATAATAAAAATTTTTCTGATGCTGTCTTTATGTATGTAATTCTGTGATTTATTTATTTCATCTGCTGCTGCAATGTATTAGTAAAACACGATGTCCTTAGCCATGCTCTCAGTTGCCAGACATTTGCTTATAGTAACCAAGAATGTGACTACAGTGAATATTTTTCTTCATTTTGAATTATCCTTGTATTGAAATTTTCTCCAGGACATATACGAGTGGATTTCTGCTCACTTTATGACATCTGTACACTAGATGTAAAATCTTCGCTAACTGCATTTATTGCTAAAATCTTTTCCCTGCCTGATATTTTTTGATGTTTCCTGGTTGACATTTTTTTTCTGCTGCATGGTGATTTTTGTAGTACAAACATTTTAAGTTTTTGTGGAATCAAGTTTATCAGAGCTTTTCATCTCAGTCGATATTTTTTTCTACAGCTCAAAAACTCTATCCAAACTCAGTGATCTCTCATATTCTCTTTTATGAATCTTAACCATTTCTTTTTCTCATTTGATCTTTAATCCAGCTAGAATGATATTCTCATGTACTATGAGGTAAATACCTACTTTTTTTCTATATAGAAAGTGCTATTATCTTATCCTCCTACTGAGGAGATAATGTCTTTCAGATATCAGGCATTTAGGCTTGAATACCTTACTTTAAGACTAATAATACTTATTACCATCATATCATAATATATCTTAGTATCTGTGACAGACAATCCCTGTATGAATTTTAGAATTAGCTTGTCAAGTTCTGTAAAATGCAAACTTACTAAAATCCACTTTTGGAAATTTTAGCAGGATTGTACTGGATATATAGATTAGTTAGGAAAAAGCTACTGTTTTTATAATATGGATGTTTTCATAAATGAATATGATATAACCATCTACTAAGTTTTGGTTTTCCCTTTTCTTTTCTTTTCTTTTCTTTTCTTTTCTTTTCTTTCTTTCTTTCTTTCTTTCTTTCTTTTCTTGTATTTTAGAGAAGGGTCTACAAGGTGC